GAGAGGGGAGGGGGGAGGGGCAGTGGGCCACTCTGTTCCCAGATCCCAGCCACCTCCTCCCTTCAAAATCTGCCCTCCTCAGGCTCGCCCTCCCTGCCTGTGTGGTTTGCCCTGGAAATACTGCTCCTGGCTCCCTTGAGTCCCCTCATCTCCTCTTCTCTGCTTCCACCTCCTCCGGGCAGGATCCCCGCCACCAAGGGGATATGCGTTCAGGATGCAGAGGGTGCTGTGGGTGGCAGGCCACCCATCAGGAGGAAACCTGGGCCCCAGGAGCCCCGAGGGAAACGCGACGTGGGGTCCTTCTTGGGAAGCCAGGTCCCCTTCCAGGGAGGTGGCCCTAGCGGGTCCTCTGCTCTGGTTTATCCGGCTCCTCAGCGGCAGCACTAGTGGGAGTGGACCCTCCGGCTCAGCGCTACAGCCTGGCTGCAGCTCGCCTTTGTCACAGCGTTTTCACCTGCCGGCAGGTGAAGCGCAGTTAGAGCACCTGGGGGCGCCCACTCCTTCACCCACTGCTACCCCAAGCAGTCATCAGCCGCCAGACCCTCCTCCATCAACCACAAAGGGCTCTGCCTTGTCCTAAAAAGAGTTTTGATTCTTGAAAAGCCGGCCCCTGGTCAGCCTCCTCCCGCCCCCTCCACCCTGACTGCAAAGGCAAGTAAAGGGTGTGAGTCCCCAGCAGCTGGGAGGCTGTGAAATGGACGAGGTACAAGTGGCACATGATAAGGAAGGGGAAGCCACAGAGAAGAAGTAGCACGTGGTTACCGAGTGGCCTCGACTGGTACCTGCGTGTTCCTTGGGGAGCATGTCAGGAACCTGGGAGCCAATCCACTAGGCCACACCCTGCCCTCCCCTCCCTACACCCCCTTTGCCTCCTTTTTGTTCTCCGAGGCTGGTTTCCCAGGTGTGAGCCCCAGCTCTGCCACCTCCTGGCTGTGTGACTCTATGCCTCAGTTTCTCCACCTGTGAAGTGGGGTAATAGCAGCTACTTCAAAGATTGTGGTGAGGATGAAATGAGCTAATGATAACAGAAACAGCAACTAGAGACCAAACCGCAGCCCGCAACCCGCAGCCTGCAGCCCCCAGCCCCCATGGGCACCCTAGAACTCAGCGATTGCTCAGTGCCTGCCCCTCCGCTGGGGCCTTGGGAGTGAAGCTCTCAGAGGGAGAGGGCAGCGGGGGAATGCGTGTCTCTTATCAAAGCGGCTTGTGCTGCTTCTCAAAATGAGTGTGAAGACGGCGCTCAGCCCCCAGCATCAGCCGGATGCCCTGAGGTTTTTTGCCTCCCAGGGCCTTGGTGGTCTCATGTGTGAAATGGGAACATGGTAGCGCTCACCACAGAGGTGATTGTGAAATGCCTGGGGCGTGTGGCCAGGCACCTAGGGCAGAGCCAGCCTCCCAGCCCAGCCCACACTCTCTCCTCTTCCTGGGCACTGTGTGCTCCAGGGTATGGTCGCTCTCATTGCTGTAATCGTCCCCCCAGGTCCCACCATCCAGTGGGAGGGAGTACTAGTACCTGTCTCATCGATGTCTGCAGACGCCTGGGCCATGCTGACAGCAGCGGCTAGGAGCCCGGGGAGACTTGGGGGCCTTGAGAAGGTGGGCTGGTCGAGGCTGGTGTCCCTGTGTGGCCGAGGCTGGGCTTCTGGCAGCTGTGACGGGAGGCTGGCTTCACGGGCAGGCACCAGCTGTTTACACCCCGGAAACAGGCCTAGAAAGCCGGGACTGATCAGCATTGTGGAGAAAAAGAAAACGAAACTTCTGTGTGTGGCTTTCGAAAGAAACAAAATTGAAAGCAGAATCGATGAGTAAGAGGGCGTGGACTAGATGTTGGAGGGTAGAGCTGAGTAACTTCCAGGTGTCCACTGATGTCCACCCAACCCCCCCCACACAGAGGCGAGGACCCTGGATGCCCATGATCGTGTGCACTTCAAAATGACAAGTCTCATTAATGAGCACCTACCGTGTGCTTTCAAATCTCATGGCCCTCTCCTCACCTCCAGGGTCGGGACTAGCACTGGCCTCTTCTCTCAGTGAGGACACTTGTTCAAGGCCACAGACATGCTTGGGCCCTAACCCAGCCCCTCCCCACACATGTACTGGCTCTGTGACCGTGGGCACGTTAATTAAGCTTTCTGTGTCTCCATTTACTTCCAGTCACAGTCATGAGCACCATTGGGTGCCCGCATGTGTCAGGCGAAACACCCCATCGCTTTCCTGAGTGATCCCCAAGCCGTCCAGAGCCATGTTCTCTTTCAGGCAATAGAGGGGAAACTGAGGCCTCCAGAAATGCAGGGCGCTGTGTGAGGCCGCCAAGAGGATCAAGAACGCAGCCCAGGAAGTCCCTGGGCCCGAGGCCCCAGCTCAGAGGCCTGGGCGGGCTAGGGACATCCCCGCTCCCTCGGGGCACACTCACCGGGCAGCCGTTCTGCAAACGCCGGGGTCGGGGTCGAGAACACCAGCGACAGCAGCGAGGGAGCGGGTCCCGGGCTCGCCCAGAGGCGGCCTTTGCAGAGCCAGCAGAAGGCCTGATGCCCAGTCCACAGCAGATCGACGCACTCCAACCTCCGGGGCGGGGCCGAGCGTCGCGGGTGATGTCATTGGCAGGGGGTGGAAAGTGAGACTAGCCATAAAACCAGGAAACCACAAGGGTGCTTTTGTTTCCCTTTTATGTAAATCCGAAGAAACCCGTATCTCTATATGCACTGACGAGGTTAACTTTAAAGGCAGGGTGGTTGCCGGTGTGGAGGAAGATTGTGGAAAGGGCTATGGGTGAGCCCCGGTGGATGCTGGGAGGCGCCGTGCCGGGACCGGCCACCAGGTGGCGCCCGCTCACCAACCCGGGCGCTGGCCCACCTCCCCCGTGGCCCCTCTGATTGAGGGGGGACCTCCCACCCATCATCTCCCCAGGGAAACCCGCGTCCATCTGGCACGATCTCGACCTCGGCTTCTCCCCGTCCTCTCCTCCTCAGGCTCCTTAGCTCCTCCCAGGGTGCAAGCAGCAAGCCCAGGCCTTGACCCAGGTGCGTGGCCTCTGGGGCTTACAGGCCAGGCGGAGGGCGAGCTTCATCCTGAGAGTCCAGTCGGCTTCTGGAAGGACCACTTGTGTTTCGGTGGCGACGGCTGGCCACCGGGCAGTGTTTGGATGGCCCTTCCTGTCCCCACTGCCTCATCCCGTAGCCACGTGTGTTCTCCGCCCTGGCTCTCTGAGCGGTCCCCGGAACCTGAGCAGGAGCCACTGGGAAAGGCCACGCTCCTGGGAGGTGCCGCCTGGACAAGGGTTCTGTCTCGCCTTCTTCTCCAGGGCGGGCCCTGCTTCTCGCTGTGGGTCAGGACCGCTCTGAGTCTTAGTTTCTTCAACTGTACAACGGAGATGATAAAGAAGAAGCATGTCTATATGATACTCGGCAGGTTCTCACAAGTTAGAAAATGTGCTGGATGCATCTCTACCATATAACTTTGGGCAAAAGAAAAAAAAGGCAAGAGAGAGAGAGAAAGAAAAACAATTGAACATGGGTGGGTTCCAACTTCCCTAGCATTGCACAGCACGTCTAGAATTCTTGGGAGCCATGAACCTGCTGTGAGCGTCTCGCCACACTGAGTGGGATTCTCACGTTTGAAGATTTGGATTATCTTTTATTTCTCTTCTCAGTTTAAGAGATTTTCAAGTAATTTTGACTTTAAAGATGCTCTTTAACCCAAATATTAGTGGTTTACACCATCCAGACGCTTCTTTCTTTTTTTCTCCTCAAACAGTCTGATAGGTGGGCGGTCCAGGTTTGGTGTGGCACATCATGAGGTTAGGACCCAGGCCCCTTCTATCTTGTTGCTCTGCCATTTGTGGCCTCCATTCCAAGATTGGCCTTGAGTTCTAGAATGGCTGCTTAAGCTCCAGCCATCACATCTGCATTCCTTCCAGCAGGAAGAAGGAAGGGGAAGAACACTTGCAAGTTGTACGCACATTCCACTGACATCCCATTCAGCTCATATCCTGGCGAGGGAGGCTGGGGGAAAATGGTCTTTATGCTGGGCCGCAATGCACCCAGCTAAAATTGGGGCTTCTAGTACTTAAAAATATGGGACAACAGATATTGGAGAATACCTAGCTATCCCTTCCATTGAGAGGCTCAGATGTTCCTCCATGGAAGGAGCGAAGGTACCTCCTCTGTGCCTTTAGGTGTGGCCATTCGTGGGGCCTATTTATTGATAGGTCCGAGTTCAAGGGCAGTTTCCACACTCTCAGAGCCTGCCGCCCAGGGTGGAAGGCAAAAGGGGAGAGGAAGGGAGACAGGGACACTGGTGCCCCCTTACCCACCTAGGAAGGGCCTCAAAGGCCACAGGAGATCCCAGATGGCACCACTGACTGCTGGATCCCAAATCTCCTTTTGCCCCGAGAAGCAGACTCATTTTCTATGACTTGTGTTTTTCTAGAAACTGTTAGGAACTCTCTGCCCAAACCAGATGCTAATGACACGTTACTGATCTCGAGTCTTTAGATGTCTCCCTCGCTCTCTTTTCGAAGAGATATGTTTACCGCACATCGTGTTGTTGAAACCCAGTCTCCTTTCTCCCAGGCAGCCTGGATGTTATCTTCACATTTCTCCTGTGCATTCATCTCGAGGGTCAGAAGGCACCCAATGTGGGAAATGACATGTCTTTGGTCAAGGGAAAAGGCCAGAGAGCTGGAGGTGGCCAGAGGGGATTGCACAAGGTTCCAGGAGGTAGAGGAGGAGGGAGAGAAACATAGACCAAGCTGCGTCAAAGGCTCTGTTTGCTGTCCTTCAAGACAGAGCTCGGTCACCCATGTCCCCAGAGTCAGGCAAACCTGGGGCTCTGGTCCTGGCACCCCCACCTTATAGCTCTGTGCCTGGAGCAAGCCACCACTCATTCTGAGCCTCAGTTGTGGGGTTGTTGTTCAATGAGATCATGGCCTGAAGGTGCTAGCAGAGCACTGAGAATGTAGCATGTGCTCATTACACAGGAGCTGATTATGTCATTATAGGATCTACGGCTGTTCCTCTCTCAGGTGACGGAGCAGTCCCATTTATTCAGCCGGTCATTCACCAAATGATTTCTGTGCTTTCTTAATCCCAGACCACACCTTGGGGGCTGCCTGGGGAAGGGGGAGCAGAGAAAGGCCCCCTCACTGGTTCCTGGTTCCGCTTCCCACTCTGGCTGCAGAAGAGGCCACATTGCCCAGTCCAGGGATTGACAGGTGGTTTAGGTTGAGTCCCAGGTCCTCCCATCCCCAACTCTCAGCAGCGATGGATAGGCAGGTGGATAGGCAGGTGGTACTGAGTTAGGGAGCTGGGCAGGGCCGGGAATTAGCCGTGGTAGTATAACTTGAGATTTTTCCCAGGGGCAAAGGAAGGGGAACTGGAGGATTTTCACCCCAGGGGAGATGGGGATTTGGAAAGGTGTTCTGGGGCTGAAGGTGGGCAAGGGAGAGGGGTGTGGCCAGCACTGGGCTGCTGGGGCCCTTTCCTCTCCCACCAACTCTTTTCGGAAAGTTAACAAATATACTGGAATAAATTCACATCTAACTTTTATTTTTATAATCAAACTAGAGATTGCATGCAATAGGCCTTCCTTCCCCTGGCTGCCTGCACCAGTTTTCCTCTGGCACCCGGGACCCAGGCCTTCTCTCCAGCCACAGCGGAGAAGGCAAGCCTCTTCAGTCTTCAGTTGTCTTCAGTCTTCAGTCTGGCCGGAGCCTTCAGTCTTCGCTCCGTGCCTGGATATGTTGGGTTGATTTGCATACTCATCCTGATTGGCTGGTGGGTGTAGCAGAGTGACACAAATTTGCATGTTTCTCTTTTATTAGTGTAGATGATTTCTAAAAATAATTTCATTTCCAAAATTATTTGCCTACAAGAAATTCATTTAATTACAATTGGCCACAGATTCTTTACCAAGTGTCCAGGAGTCTTGGGAATTCTCTCAAAGTGGGGCGACTTCACCTGTAAGTTTGTTTCAAACAATTAAGTGTAATGAAATTTTTTATGATGATTAAATGGAACAATTAGTTAACTTGACATGTTAGGTTTTCTAGGCTTTTAGTTAAACACGTATGGATCCCGAATGTGCAATGCTTCCCCCGCCCCTATATTTTGCAGCTCAAACATTTTCAAAGGCATCTGGAAGCCAGAGGTGCTAAGACTGCCACTCCCAGAAGGGAAAATGAAGGAAATGGGGAGACACATCATAAGAGAGAGGAGTCCCCCGGGTTGTGGCCTAGGGTGAGTGCTGGTGGCGGTTTCAGAGGGGCAGGATTAGAATCTGGATCAGATAGCCACAGCGCCAGCCAAATGGCTCCTATGCTTGGTGGCTCCGCTGGCCACCCCTGTGAAGAGCATGCCAGAGAAGCCAAACACCATGGATCTAAAACAATCCGGTTTTAAACTTGTTCACTCAATCAAGTTAGATGCTTTTAAAGACAAATTTAATTATTCTGAGCTCAATGAAAGCCTTTTAATAAGCTGAACACCATGATTTCAGTCTCTGCCCGCAGGGCCACCAGTCAAGGCAAGGAGGGAGCACAGAGGGGAGGGAGGGGAGCTGGTGGAGGGGATGTGGGAGGAAATGTGGGGGAGGGGCACAGGGTCCCAGCAGGAGGCCCGCATGCACACACACGCACACGCACACACATGTGCACACACAGATGGGCATTTGTTTTAGAAATGTATTTGCACATTTAAACCCATCATTTGTTCCAAAGCATCTGATTGTGAAGCTTTTTATAATATTTTGTTTTATTTTTGGAAGCAGCTCTTTTTCTTCGGGACAACCGTACAGAGTGCGAAGGAAAACGCGAGCCGCTTGGCAGACGCCCTGTGCGCTCTGCCTCCCTTGCTGGCTCACACTTTCCTCGCGCTCTGAGCGTCCCGTCGATGCCTGCGACAGGAAGCCAGACACACATGCTGAAACAATTTCAACAAATACCAACTCAGAACCAACTCCCAGGGCTGGTGCAGGCGCTTCTGCCTCCCCGCTGGTGCGAAGGAGACAGCTCGGCTGCGCAGTGCGAGAGTTGCCGTGTTTATAAACTGCTTTCTTTTTCAGCATTAACGCATTCACTTGTCCAGTGTAATGGCCTCTGCTGTTTTTATTTTTAAGATATATTTTTATTGATTTCAGAGAGGGAGGAAGAGAGAGATAGAAACATCAATAATGAAAATCATTGATCGGCTGCCTCCTGCATGCCCCCTACTAGGGATTGAGCCCACAACCCAGGCATGAGCCCTTACCAGGAATCGAACTGTAACCTGGGTCATAGGTCAACACTCAACCACTGAGCCATGCCAGCTGGGTGGCACTTGCTGTTTTTAGCTACCTAGCACACAACCTCCTTCTTCTGGTAAAATTGCCCCAATTTTCCTTTTTTATTGATTGATTTTAGAGGGACAGAAGAAGGGAGAGAGGGGGGAGAGAGAAAGAGAGAGAGAGAGAGAGAGAGAGAGAGAGAGAGAGAGAGAAACATTAATTTGTTATTCCACTTATTCATGCATTCATTGGTTGATTTTGTATGTGCCCTGCCCAGGGA